CGAGTAGATTACCTAAGCCTGCAGGTTGGCCAGACCAGCCTGGGCAACTTGGCAAGACCTCATATCTACAATAAATCAAAAATTAGCTGGGTGTGGTAGCATGTGCCTATAATTCCAGCTACTTGGAAGGCTGAGGTGGAAGGATTGCTGGAGCCCAGTAGGTTGTCACTGAGGTGGCCGTGAGCAAGCCACTGAAACAGAGTGAAACTCCAACTCAAAAAAAGAGACACTGAAGATAAAATAAGAAGGTCCAAGGAAAAAGGCTAATTTTTTTTTAGATCAATACAATAAGCAAATTCCTGAAAGACTGATCAAGAAAGAAAAGAGACATCACAAACACACAAAAAAGTCACAGGAATGAAAAAGGACATAACTACAGATTCAGTAGATTCTAAAAACATAAAAAGAAAATTAAGAATTAATAAACTTGAAAACCTAGACCAAATTAGCAATTTCCCAGAAAAAACAAAAAAACAAGCTACCGAAATTGACAAAAAAAAAAAAAAAAAAAACCGATTCCTGACTCACCCTAGAGCCATTATATTGAATTGGCAAAAATCGATTCATATGCACACACACACATGCACCCACAAACAGGCCAAAAATGTCTTTGACCAAATCTTCAAAGACATAATCCTTCCTAAAAAAATTGTTTCAACAAACAGAAAAAAAGAGAACACTCCTCAGATCTTTTCATGAGACTAGAACACCTTGATAGTAAAATCAGAAAGGGCCAGAACAATAAAAGTATGAGTGAATCTCAGTTATGAACATAGATGCAAAAATTGTAAGTAAAATATTAGCAAACCAAATCTAACACTAACTGAAAATGATATACCATGACCTACAGCATCCCAGAAATTTCAAGATAATATGACATTAGGTGGCTCAGGCCTTTAATCTCAGCACTTTGGGAGGCAGAGGCAAAAGAACTGTCTGAGTTCAAGGGTTCGAGACCAACCTGGACAACATGGCAAGACCTTGTCTCCGCAATAAAAAGAATTAGCTGGGCATGGTGGCACAAGTCTATGATTCCAGCTACTTAGAAAACTGAGGCAGAAGGATCACCTAAACCCAGCAGGTCGAGGCAGCGGCGGCCATCAGCAGCGTGCCACTACAACTGCACTCCAACATGGGCAACAGAGTGAGACTCTGACTCAAAAAAACAAACCTTCAGCAAACATTAGAAGCAATCCTTTAAGTTCAGGAATAAGAAACAGATGTCATCCATCACCGTATTTTTTCTTAGAAGTACTATAGGGAATTCCTAGTCAATGTAAGACTACAAGAAAATTAATATTATTTTTTATTTTTTGAGTTAGAGTCTCACTCTGTCACCCAGGCTGGAATGCAGTGGCATGCTCAAAGCCACTGCAGCCTCGACCTGCTGGGCTCAGGCGATCCTTGCACCTCAGCCTTCCAAGTAACTGGCACTAAAGGTGTGCACCACCATGCCCGGCTAATTTCTCTTGATTTATTGTAGAGACGACATCTCACCAAGTTGTCTAGGCTGGTCTCAAACCCCTGGGCTCAGGCATCCTCTCACCATGGCCTCCCGAAGTGCTGGGATTATAGATATGAGCCACCATGCCTGGCCTAGAAAATGAATTTTAAAACTTCAATGCTGAAAATGGAGTAACAACATTGTCCTTAATTGAGATTACATGACTTTTCTTTTTTTTTTAATGTGATAGGTTATTTTCCAAAGCTTAAATATAAATAACAAAAATACACCAAACAGAAAACTATTTTTGACATAGTTTTCAAATTAGAAACGCCTGGCCGAGCACAGTGGCTCATGTCTGTAATCCCAGAATGTTGGGAGGCTAACGCAGGAGGATTGCTTGAGCCTAGGAGTTCGAGACCAGCCTAAGCAACATAGCAAGACTTCATCCCTACGAAAAAATCAAAAAAATAAGCTGGGCATGGTGGCATATGCCTAGAGTACCAGCTCCTTGGAAGGCTGAGAATGAAGGATCCCCTGAGTCCAGCAGGTCAAGGCTGCGGTGGCTGTGAGCGTGCCACTGCACTCCAGCCTGGGCAACAGAGTGAGACTCCAACTCAAAAAAAAAAAGAGGCAGGGCATGGTGGCTCACACCTGTAATCCCAGCATTTTGGAAGGCCAAGGTGAGAGGACTGCCTGAGCAACAGGCAGTTACTTGAGACCAGCCTAAGCAACTTGGTGAGATCTTTTCTCTACAATAAATCAAAAAATGAGCCAGGAGTGGTGGCACTTGCCTGTGGTTCCAAGTACTTGGAAGGCTGAGGTGGAAGGATCACCTGAGCCCAGCAGGTCAAGGCTGCAGTGGCCATGAGCGTGCCACTGCACTCCAGCCTGGACGACAGAGTGAGACTTCGACTTAAATTTTTTTAAAAATCACAGGCTCAAATTTTTTAAGATGATATTATTTTTCTACACAGTAAGATGTCTTAGAGATATTAAAGAAAATTTAAATATGTAAATAGAAACAGACCATGTTCATGTCTTGAAAGTCTCAATATTGTTTAAGATGTCAATTATCTCCAAACTGATTTACAGACTCAACATAATCTCAATTAAAATCCTAACAGGAAACTGACAAGCTAATTCTCAAATTCATATGGAAATGCAAAGGACCAAGAAAACAACTTTGAAAACAGACAACAAAGTTGGATGGTTTACCCTCATAATAAATGATCTCAAGATTTATTATAAAGCTACAGCAATCAAGACACAATAGTAATAGTGTAAAGATAGGCAAAAGATCAATAGAAGAGAGCAGACAACCCACAAAAAGACCCTCACATACATGGTCAATTTGGAAAATATCTAAATGTCCTTCAATAAAAGAGTAGTCAAATAAGTCAAGATTTTTAAAACTGTGGTACATCTATATACAGAAAAGTATGCAGCTGATAAAAGAATGAGGCAGACCACACAAACTGACACAGAAAAATAGTGTATATAATGTAGCATTTATGTTTAAAAAGACAAACTGGGGTGGGTGTGTGTGTGTGTTAAAAGTCTGAAAGAAATTTACCAATTTAATAGTAATTACCCTTGGGAAAAGAAGTCGGGTAAAAGATGACATATACACACAAGTTTTAGTAACTTACATTATTTTGAAAAGTGAAAAACAGTCATAGTCTCCTTATAGGACAATGAGTGTTAGTCACTACTAGCAAGTATATGAAGGCAAGGCAGAAAACCTGGCACACAGCTGGCTCATAACCAGTGATAAGTTTCCCACCTTCCATCAGGGTGGGGATTGGGAACAGAAACCACTATCTTATAGCCTTATCCTACAAACACAACCATGAGTTCCCAGCACCTGGAATACTATGTAAAAAGTGTTGACAGACAGATTACAAGAAAAGTGTCATGAAACTAAAGAAAGCCCAAGGAAAGATAGCCAGAAAGATCAAGAGAACAAGAAGTCTGAGATGTGAAGAAAGCTAAAAGGATTATACTTGGTCTACTGAGAAGAGGAAGGCGACAACTGCAGTTGCCTTTAAGTATGACCACACACTAAATGGTATGGGCAGGAAGAGGATGGTTACATTTTGTCCACAAAACCAAACAATGCCAGTATAAGAGCTGAACCCTAAGACATCTGGGGATCACTTTGAGATAAACACAAAGAAATAGCCAGGCGCGGTGGTTCACGCCTGTAATCCCAGCACTTTGGGAGGTAGAGGCAAGAGGATTGTCTGAGCCCAGGGTTTCAAGACCAACCTGGGCAACTTGGTCAGACCTCATCTCTACAATAAATAAATAAATAAATAAAGCTGGGTGTGGTGCCATGCACCTGTAGTTCTAGCTACTTGGAAAGATTGCCTCAGGGGCAGGCTGTGGTGGCCATGAGCGTGCCACTGCACTCCACCCAGCCTGGGTGACAGAGTGAGACTACAACCCCCCCCCAAAAAAACAGAGAAATCCCATCTAAGCTAAGAAGTAAACATGGTACTCACTTTACAGAGACTACCTGAAGAGGCTCTGAGTATGTGATGAGGGAGTGGGAGAGAGCAGGACAGAGTAGACACCCAGAACACAGAACACAGTAGCACCAGCAACAGGAGACAATGCAGTGCTCAGGAAAAGCAGGGAGATGGTAGCAATGGCCATGGCTCCTTTCAGCTTCCCCACCTTGTCTTTCCTCACCATGAACCTCTGTTTCCCTGAGACAACCTCAGTGAGTCACTGCTCCTCACTATCGCAAGAGCTCTAGCTGAAAGTGAAAATATGAATGCATCCACAAATGTGAACCTACTCATGAACAGGGTACAGGAACTCAGGGATGGCAGAGCCATGTGTTCCCAAGGGAGACAGAAACCCTTTGCCAGTCTATGTAGCCTCATTACCAAGCTCATTAGCACCAGCATCCAATCTGGACATGCTAAGGGAGTTTACCTGTCGGCTGGGTGTGATGGCTCATGCCTATAATCCCAGCACTTTGGGAGACAGAAGCAGGAGGACTGTTTGAGCCCAGAAGCTTGAGACCAGCCTAGGCAACATAGTAAGACCCTGTCTCTACAAAAAAAAATTAAAAATTAGCCGGGCATAGTAGCATGAGCCTGTAGTTCCAGCTACTCAGGAGGTTGAGGCAAAAGGTTTGCCTGAGTCCAGGAGGTCAAGGCTGCAGTGAGACATGATAATACTATTACACTCCAGCCTGGGTGACAGAGTGAGACCCTGACTCAAAAAAAGGAGGTATAATTGTTACTTTCAGCATCAGTCCACAAGGAGTAGACCACCTCCTCAGCACATCCAAAACAGATGTACCAGAGAGCCTGACCCAGGGCAGCAGCTCCTGTGGCCCTGGATATAAGTGCTGAACCCCATCACAGGGACCATCTGTTCAGCCTGAGCTCAGGCGAAGTAGTGAAGGAACAGCACAGCACTGTCCCTGACTGCACAGGACAGGCTTGGCAAAGCTGGGCCGTTAAAACATCCTCAGTGTCAGGTTCCCTCCGCTGCCAACAGAGGCCAAGCCAGCGGGCCACATCCCCTGCTGACTTACCATGGCTTCCATTCCATAGGTAGTGGGGCCACAATGCCCTCCCTCGCCAGCCACATCAGTTCTGGTTCCTTGATGGGATCAATACCAATCTCTCTGGCAAAATCAATAATTTCTACAAAGAAGAGACAGAGAGGTGGGAAGGTAAGGCAAATAAGGGCAGACGGAAAGAAGAAATAAATGACAATCTTTTTTCTTCTCTGCCTTTGCTTTCCAAACTTTCTTCAGTGAGAAAATATTATTTCTCTAAATATAAATGATACATATATGAGGAGAGACAAAAAAAAATACCAGAATTATATTTTAGAGGTTGGGCCCCTTGTAGGTAAGTGTTAGTGTTCTAGGAATCCATTGGCATCAGTGAACAGGCTAGAGTCATTGTGAGAGAAGATTTGGAAGAAACATCCTGAGTTGTGGCAAACAGGTTCTCCCACCGTGGTAACACACTGTGCTGAGTACTCAGCAGCTTGTGGTCAAAAATGGCAGGACTCCTGGGTTTCACCCTCCCTATTCCCCTGTTCTTGTCCCCCAGAGACTTTTTTTTGTTTGTTTCCCCCGATGAAAAAAGTCCTCAAAGGGAAACTTTTTGCCCATGCGGAAGAAGTGAGCCAAAAAAAGGCAGAAGCACTAAAAGGCATCAAAATTGATGAGTTCAAAAACTGTTTTGAGCAGCGAAAAAAGCGTCTCAATAGGTGCACTGCATCAAATGGAGAGTACTTGAAGGTGACTGAAATTTACACAGGTAAGGATAAATATACAATTTTTTATAAATAAACTCTGGGTTTTTTGGGTATTCCCTCATATGCAATTGTTTCCTTCCATCACAATTTACAAATGGCACAATTGAATCTGGGCATATTCTCTCCATACTACAAGAATACCAACTGAAGCCGAGCACAAAAAAGGTAAAAAAAACTTCGCCATGGCAGGGGCCTCAGGAAGAACCCGGAGGCCTGAACCATCCAGGATGAGCACAGTCTTACCGGAAAGACATAAGCTTTTCCAAGATTTGCAAAAACAAATATGTCCTTACTGGAAGGACAGAAGCTTTTCCAAGCTTCATGCAAAAACACTTGCCACTCAATCAACAGCATATAAGAAACGATTCCCAGTGACTAAGTTCCTTCCAAACACAAAACTAAGTACAACCCAGGTGATATATGCTATAAGGCAGACATGTCTCCTGTGCCATGGGAGCAGACAGGAGTGTTTGATTCTGTCTCTCGAACGGTCCACAAACCACCTAAATTATAAGCAAAATATGTGTGCTCATGTCCATAACACATCAGAATTTCAAAGAAATTTTCACTTCAAAAAAACAGCACAGTGCTTCAATGTGCAGGTTCTGGAGTTAGAATACCTGAAGGTGGATTCTATCTACACCTTAGCAGAATTGTGTAATTGTGGGAAAATTGCTTAATCTTTCTGGATCTTGAGTTCCTCATCTGTAAAACGGAGATAATAATAGTACCATCTAAACCTGCTGTGAGGGTTGTAAAGGTGATACATGAAAAGCTCTTAAAATGGAGACAGACACATAGTTGTACTCAATAAATTATATTACCTCAGTTCCAATCTCTACTGGAAAAAATAAACAATGTTATTATTGTTATTGATAATGTTATTTTTGCACAAAATGCTTTTTAATGAAACTAATTATTGATCTGAACCAGAGTCAATAAGTTTTTTCTGTAAAGGGTCAGATAAGTAAATATTTTAGGCTTTGTGGGTCATGCAGTCTCTGACACAACTACCCAAGTCTGCTGTTACAGCAAAAAAGCAGCCACAGACAATAAATAAACAAATAAGTGTTGCTGTTGCTGTTTTCCAATAAAGTTTTATTTACAAAACAGGCAACAGGCCAAGATAGGCCCATGGGCTATAGTTTGCCAACCTCTGATCTAACCCAAATATATTACACAGCCCTGTGCACGCACCATACTTTGCCAGGAAAGAACAAAAATAAGCCATACATCATCGCTGCCCTCAAAGAACCAATACAATATACCACAGGCCTCTTCTCAGGCCTCTTACCTTGCTCACTGGGAATGTAGGTCTCATCATAATTTTCCTCTAGAACCAGCTGGTCTCCTATGCGGATGGTTGGTCTGGCCATGACTGGTCTTGGTTTGAACACCTAGATGCCAGAGACCCCCATCCAAAGAGAAAAATCAGTGGTATAGCTTAAAAGGGAAAAAGTAGGAGCTGGGTCATGGAGCATTTGAATTAAACCAAACCCTGCAAGCCATCTTGGCCTGGGACTCCCCAGGTGCCTGGGATAGTGGAGGGTGGGACCAGCAGCTCAGAACTCAGGCCTCAAAGCTCTGCACCTAGGAATATTCCCTGACACACCTCCACAGGCTTGCTGAAAACCCAGTGAACCACAAACATCTGCAAGTCCAGCTCTATCAAGAGAGTGACTTCATATAGAAGAAAGAATTACAGTACAGAACCGCCAGCTAAAAAATTCTAGTGACACCCAAATAACCAGCAGCACAGACCCTCATACACAGCAAACCCAGTGCACAATCATACCGTCTCAATGCACATCCCTACTTGGATGGCCCTATTTACATCCAGCAATGCCCTCGGAGCCTACAGTCCAGCAGTGGGAGCAGACACAACTTCAACAGTGAAGGCAGAAGGGAAAAAACTCCCTGCTTCAGGAAGACTAACACAAGAGCAACGAATCCCCTGAAAGGGATGGAGGAAGGCTGGCAAGAATTCTGATGGTGGAGAAAGACACTCGAGACAGAGCAAGCATCATGTGCAGACAGGTGTTCTGCAGTGCTGGGTACCAGTGTGCATGATAGGGGCTGGTCACAGAGGGCCTTATAGACAGTGCTAAAGAGCCTCAACTCTGCACGGTAGCAGAGGGGAGTCACCAAGGCCTCTCCTGAAAGAAAGGATCATGGGGTAGCCTTTTTTAGGATAAGAATTCTGGCAGGACCGGCATGGCTGGGTTGGAGAAATGAGAAACTGGAAACTAGGGCTTAAACTAGAAATGAGAAACTGGTGTCAGGAAAGTCACCTGAGGAGGCTGTCATCCAGGGGAAAGAGTATGAGGGCTTAAACTAGGACAGAACTAGGACAGAAGCAGTGGGACAGATAGGATGGACACAGCAACATTAGGCTTAATAGGACCAAGAGATGGAAAGAGTGGAAAAGAGCTTCAACGGACTAGACTGTGTCCCTCCAAAATTCACACATTGGAGTCTGGATCTGGCAATAGGGCCTTCAGGAGGTAATTAAGGTTAAAATGAGGTCATAAGGGTAGGGCCCTGACCTAATAGGATAAGTGTCCTCATAAGAAAAGGAAGAGAGAACAGAGTTCTCTCCCCTCCATGTGGGAACACAGAAAGAAGGAACCAGGAACAGACCTTCATCTGGGATTTCCAGTCTTTAGAACTGTGAGAAAGTAAATTTCTGTTGTTTAAGCCACCTAGTCTATGGTGTTGTGTTACAGCAGCCCAAGCCGACTAAAAGTTCGACTTGACTCCAAGGTTTCTAGTCCAGCTAAATTCTGCTGTATCATTTATTAGCCGTGAAATCTTGGGCAATTTTTTTGTTTTTTGTTTGTTTTTTAACCTTGCTAAGCCTCTGTTTCCTTATTTGAGAAATGAGTGTAATAATCTCTACCTAAACCAGGCGTGGTGGCTCACACCTATAATCCTGGCACTTTGGGAGGCAGGAGCGAGAGAATTGCCTGAGCCCAGGGGTATGAGACCAGCCTGGGCAACTTGGGGAGGCATCGTCTCTACAATATATCAAAAAATTAGCCAGGTGTGGTGGCTCAAGCCTGTGGTTCCAGCTACTTGGAAGGTTGAAGTGGAAGAATCACCTGAGCCCAGTAATTTGAAGCTGGGGTGACCATGAGCATGCCACTGCATTCCAGCTTGGACAACAGAGTGAGACTCCAACTCAAAAATAAATAGATACAGACAGACAGATAAATAAGTAATAATCTCTACCTAGCTGCCAATTCCAGAGTCTAGCAAAAAGGAGTGGCTCATATATCTCTTTCAGGAAGCCTTCCCAGCTAACCTCACCTCCCCATCAACCCAAAACCCCCTCAGCACCAAGGACACAGTTTACATGTGTTCACAGGCATATTTCTCTCCATGTTACTTTTTTCATGGGAATGTGTTCTGCTTCTCCTGTTAAACCACAAACTTCTGAGGGTCATGCTTCCGCTCAAATTTTCCAACCAAGCCTAAAATAAGCCTTTGTCAACTACAAGGAGCTCAGTTACTGCTGTAAACCATTACCACAAAACCAGTGAGTCTCAGAAGCTAGAAAAGCCCACAGTAGCTTTCCTTCCCATGCTAAATCTTCCCTCTCTGTGCTTTAAGTGGCAGATGGCACAGTGGTCAAAGCACCAGTTTTAGGGACAGAAAACCTGGATTCGAACCCTAGCTCTCTCACTTACCAGCTCTATAATCTAGGCAAGGTACTTCCTCTCTCTCAGCCTCAGTAACCTCATGTGTATAATGCAAAGAATCATGATCATCTATGCTGAAAAGCTATTAGAGGATGAAATGAGATCATATTTTTTAAGTACCTAGCACATTCCCTGGTATACAGAAAATGTTAAATAAATTTGCTTAATATTACTGATTCTACTGCCAGTTCCATAGTTAGATAATTCTTAACTGTTCAAAGGTCTTTCTCGGCCAGGCGTGGTGGCTCATGCCTACAATCCCAGTACTTTGGAAGGCTGGTGGCCGCGGGCGGGGTGGGGGAATGTATCACTTGAGCCCAGGAGTTCCAGACCCGCCTGGATGACAAAGTGAGACACTAACTCTACAAAAAAATAGAAAAATTAGCCAGGTGTAGTGGTGTGTGCCTGTAGTCCCAACTACTTGAGAGGCTGAGGCAGGAGGATTGCCTGAGCCCAGAATTTCGAGACTGCAGTGAGCCATGATCATGCCACTGCACTCCAGCCTGGGTGACAGCGTGAAACCCTGTCTCAAGTAAATGAATAAATAAAAAGTCTTTCTAATATTAAGTCAACAATCTGTTTCTAAGAAATGCTCCCTGATCTGTCGAGTTCTGCCCTCTGCTGTGTACAGCACCCAAGGACTCTCTAGCTAAGTAGTCCTAGTTCCCTCCCACTCGATACATGCCATTGTTTCCCACTCCTTCACTATCATGGTTCCCTTCCTCTCTGCTCGGTCACTATAGTCAGAGAGTTTTGCACATCCACACCTAACAGGACACATACACTCATATGCATAAGTAGGTTGCCTGCATGCCATCCCTTCAACACTTGTACTAGATTTGCTGGAGAAGGCCCTGGGGAGAAGATAGAAGACGTTAGATTTGATGATATGGTGGTAATGAGCACAGGTTTTAGGACATTCTCAGCTTTGAATCCCAGCTCTGCCTCTTACTAGATGAGTAGCCTCAGTTTTCTCATCTATAAAATGGGGTTAGCTGGGCATAGTGGGGCTTGTCTGTGGTTCCAGCTACTTGGAAGACTGAGGGGGAAGGATCACCTGAACTCAGCAGGTCGAGGTTGCAGTGGCCATGAGCATGCAACTGCACTCCAGCCTGGGTGACAGAGTGAGACTCTGACTCAAAAAAAAAAAAATGGGGGTAATAACAATGTCTATCTCAAAGTGTATGAGGATTAAATGACTCAATACATGTAAAGTGTTTAAAACACTAAGATCTCGATAGATGTTAGACACTATTGTTATTGTTATTACTATTCACACTTATTTTATTTATTTATTTAGAGTCAGAATCTCATTCTGTCACCCAGGCTGTAGTGCAATGTCATGATCACGAATACTGCAGCTTCGACCTACAGGTCTCAAACAATCTTTCCACCTCAGCCTTCCAAGTAGCTAGGACTACAGGTGCATGCCACTATGCCCAGCTCATTTTATGATTTATGCAGAGACAAGGTCTTGCCACATTGCCCAGGCTGGTCTTGAACTCCTGGGCTCAGGCAATCCACCTGCCTCAGCCTCTCAAAGTGCTGGGTTTACCGGTGTAAGACACTATTCCCGGCCTATTCACATATTTTAAGGGCTTATTCTACATCGCTCCAGAGAATAGATCCAGCACCAGGGAATATAAGTTAAGGTCATTCAAACATTCAATAATCACTTATCGAGCATCTACCATGGGTCAAGCACTATGCTACATGTTAGGGCTACAAACCTGATTGTACATACACCTGAACTTGAGCTCAGCCTAGCTGGGAAGCCAAACGTGTAAACACAAGACTACACAATTTGTTAAGCACATTAAAGGAAACAACATAATATATAACAGAACACAAAAGTGGGGCAACTAACCTTACTTTTTAAGATCAAGGAAAATATCACAGAGTAAAGGACCACTGAGATAGTTGTTCATAAGCAGGAATTCACCAGGGTAAGGGGAGGAAGGAAATTTTTTTTTTTTTTGAGTCAGAGTCACACTCTGTCGCCCAGGCTGGAGTGCAGTGGCGCACACACAGCCACTGCAGCCGAAGTAAGGAAATTTCAGGCAGAAGGAACAACATGCACAAAGGCAAAGAGGCAGGAAAGAACATGGTGGGTGCAGAGTATTAATTATGACAACAAAAGTTTACAGTCCCTGAACACTCCTATGTGCCAGGAACTGCGGAGAACTTTATAAACATCATCTTCGTCATCCTCTCAGTGAGGTACAGATTATTATGCTCATTTCTCAAATAAGGACACTGAGGCATAGCAAGGTCATAAAAAAAAAACTTTCTCAAGGATTCACAGCTAATAAACGATACAGCAGAACGTGCATACATCCACGTCTATCTGACTTCAAAGACTGAAAACTTAACCACTCTGACATGACCAGAGTCCAAGGAACAGTGAGAGAAGTGGCAGGAGAGAGCTCTAGAATAAAAGGTAAAAGCAGCCGGCTGCAGTGACTCATGCCTATAATCCCAGCACTTTGAGAGGCCAAAGTGAAAGGATTGCCTGAGCCCATGGGTTTGAGACCAAACCGGGCAACTTGGCGAGACCTCACCTCTACAATAAATCAAGAAAAAATAGCCGGGCATGGTGGTGCATGCCTATAGTTCCAGCTACCAGGAAAGCTGAAGTGGAAGGATCACCTGAGCCCAACAGATAGAAGCTGCGGTGGCTGTGAGCATGCCACTGCCTTCCAGCCTGGGCTACAAAGTGAGACTCCTACTCAGAAAAAAAAGGTAAGAGCAAGAGCATGTTATAAAGGACCCAGAAGGATCAAGGCTCTATCCTGTAAATGATGAGGGGCCATCACAAGTTTCACAAAGGAGACTGGCATGATCACATGTGTAGTTTAGAGAGATGATTCCACATTTATCATAATACAATAAGAAAGGGATTAGCAGTGCCCAGGCACAGTGGCTTATACCTGTAATCTCAGCACTTTGGGAAGGGGAGGCAAGAGGTTTCCCTGAGCCTATGCGTTCGAGACCAGCTTGGGCAACATGGCAAGACCTCATCTCCACAATAACTCAAAAAATTAGCCAGGCATGATGATACACACCTGTAGTTCCAGCTACTTGGAAGGCTGAAGTGGGAGAATCGTCTGAGCCCAGCAGTCTGAGGCTGCAGTGGCCATGAGCATGCCACCACCCACACTCCAGCCTGGGTGACAGAGTGAGACACTGACTAAAAAAAAAAATATTTTTAAAAAGAAAGAAGAAAAGGATTATTGGTAGTAGTGGGAAACTTCCAGGAGGTGGGTGGGAAGAGGTGGGCACATAACATAAATAAGGGTACCTGATCTCAAACCGGGCAAAGTGGAGACCAAAGGAAGACCCACCTTTACCTGTACGATAACCACCTATACACCAAATCCTGAACTGTACCCTACATCTTTAAAATAAAAAATAATAGTAAAGATGATTCTAGATTGGTGTGGTAGCACATGCCTGTAGTCCTAGCTACTCAGGAGACTGAGGCAGGATTACTTGAGACCAGGAGGTTGAGGGTGCAGTGTGCTATGATCCCACCTATGGATAGCCATTGCCCTCCAGCCTGGGCAACACAGTAAATCTCCACCTCTTAAAAAACAAAAAGAGAGCAGGGCTTGGTGGCTCAGCCTGTAATCCTGCGCTTTGGGAGGCTGAGGTGAGTGGACTGCCTGAGCCCGCAGGTTCGAGACCCGCCTGGGCAACTTGGCAAGACCTCATCTCTACAATAAATCAAAAAATTAGCTGGGTGTGGTAGCACGCGCCTGTAGTTCCAGCTACTTGGAAGGCTGATGTGGAAGGATGGCTGGAGCCCAGGAGGTTGAGGGTGCAGTGAGCCATGATTGTGCCACTGCACTCCAGGCTGGACAAGAGGGTGAGACTCCAACTCAAAAAAAAAAAAGAAAGAAGGAAAGATAATTTTGACAGTTGGATAAGCACTGATTAGAGGAGGGCAAAAACTGAGGCAGAGAGACCACTTAGGAAGTTTTCTTGAAAGCACGGGCAAGAAATTATTAACTAAGTCAGTGACCATGAGGGTGGAAAGGAAGGGCCAGATTCTGGAGGAATTAAGAAGCAAAATAGGTGGAGCTCAGTGGTTCAGCCTGTAATCCCAGCACTTTGGGAGGTCGAGGTGAGTGGATTGTCTGAGCCTGTGGGTTCAAGACCAACCTGAGCAACTTGGGGAGACTTCATCTCTACAATAGATAAAAAATTAGCCGGGCATGGTAGCGTACGCCTGTAGTTCTGACTACTTGGAAGGCTGAGGCAGAAGGATCGCCAGAACCAAGCAGGTCAACGCTGGGATGGCCGTAGTGTGCCACTGCACTGCAGTCTGGGCGACAGAGTGAGACTCCAACTCAAAAAAAAAAAAAGAAGCAAATTAACAGCACTTGAGGTATGTAACAAGTAGAGAAGGGGATCAGAGCACTTAAGCCCAAATATTGTGGCTGTCTGGTCACTTCTAGGCCTTACTGAATAGGCAGCCCCACCTAGTACACTGCCTAGAAGATAGGATACATTCCAGGTATACACGTGACTGACAGTGAATGGCCAAGTCCTTCACTGAGACAGAAAATAGACGAGGAGGTACAGATTCTGGGGCCTGGGGAACGCTGGAGATGACAGCACCAGGTCGAAGCTCAGGAAAGCGACCTGGCTGAAGAGTAGCTTGGGGGGTCAACACTGAACAGACAGACGGTAACTGAAACTCTGGGTGAAATCACCCAGAGATGGAGTCTGGTGGATAGAAAGGGCTGAGTAAGAACCAGGAGACAGGGGGTCCTGGAAGCCAAGTGTGGACAGCGGATCCAAACGGAGTGGGAGATTTTTGAATCAATGCAAGAATAAAGAAAAGACCAAAAAACTTCCCAGCTTCGCCAGCTGGCCAGAAGACGGCATGAGGCCAGCCTCGCCTGGGTTCTGGAGGTGGGGGGTGCTTCCCCAAAGAGAAAAAAGTATTCAGTTAAGAAGGCCGGGCCTCACGCGACAACCAGGGACTGGACACATAAACCCGAGCGTCCGGGCGAGCTCACACGGGGCCCAGCGCTCACTCACCCGAGACCCCCAGCCCAGGGCCGCGCGGGGACCGCAGGAGCAGGGAGAGGCGAGATGCTCAAGGGGCACATCGTCCAGCCGCCCCCGTTTCACCTCTTCTCGCAGCTACCGCCCACACGCGTGCACGTGCCCCTCGTGGGCACACCCGTGTGCCTGGGCTCCCCCGCAACCCTCCCCGCCCCGCCACCGACCACGCCCTCCAGGAAGTCCTCACCTGCCCCCCACCCCGGGAGGCTCTGGGCGACGGCTCCGGGCTCCGCGCCGCTTTCCCAGCACCATCCCGGCTTAGGGACGCCGGGGTGTTGCCCTGCAACCGCCAACAACCACTTCCGGAGAGGGTACCAACCAAGCAACTGAGAGTCCCGCCTCCGCCCGCAGCCGATAGGTCGCCGGGAGAGAGTTCTGGCATCGGATTGGTTGGCGGTCCCGTCGCATCACGCGGGACGTCGGACCGTTTTCCGCTGCGCTCTGGGAGGTGGAGTTCAAGGCTGTTGATGGGCATACGCGAGGGGTTAAACGAGAACCCTGAATTTCGACGTGAGGCGAATTTCTTTCAGGGCAGGAAAGGACCCCTTATAGTATTTATGGTGACGTGAATTATCTAAGGCAATTTACTGATCATTTTTTAGCAGTGTGACTAACAGTAAGTGAATAAAGCAATGATCATAAATAATCAACCCATTGGAACTTTAATAAACAAAAGAAATGTGAATGTAAGGGAATGGAGACACCCATCCCCCCCGCCCCAGATACCTGACTCTCCTGTGTTTCGATTAAATCAAGGAGCACCAGGCCAGGAGTTAAACTTATTTTCTACAATTCATCTTTTCACCAGAGCACAGGGCTTAGTTTGCATGTCTGCAAGATAGGGACAGTAATGTCTGTCATAACTTTTTTGAAGAGTCTGTTGAAAAATTTAAACGTGACATATAGTGTAACTCCTCACACACCCTGTCTGGTAGAAGGGTGGTTACTAATATAATTTCAAAGAACTTTAGTTTTACTTAAACAAGGGCAAATCTTTCCTTTTTTTTCCCTCTCATATGTCACTAACCTTCTAAAGAAGAGGGGCAAAAGGGTCCTGGCTCTTTTTGGGAAAACAGGAAAGCAGAGATGTTACCAATGGAAGAGGAGAATGATAAGACTAAGCACCTAGAACTGCTCCTGGTAGGTTCTAGAGATGTATCTCACTCATACTAACTCCTAAGACTGGTCCCAGTGCCACTCAAAGACTGAACCCAGAATGAGATAATAGGATTGTTGTCTCTGTAGATCCCAAATGAGACATACAGAACATATTCCTTGTGAAAGTTGTCCGAATCATCAAAACGGAGTCACTTGTATCAAAACCCTGACAAATGGCACCATGAATGGAGGGTTTTTATGATAGCATAATGCCTGATAACAAGAACTATCACAAAAGACTCTGCAAAAACCACAACCTTGCACAAAGGCCATTTCTCTCTCTCTCTCTCTCTCTCTCTCTCTTCCTCCCCCCCCAACACATACTTCTGCAGGGATATCTTCCCAGCAACTGCTTGTCCATACTTGTACTGAAACCACCCTGTTATTGATCCTTGTAGTCAAGGATTGCTATTTCAAAACAATTTATGAAACCCTCTTCAATTTGCCTTTGAGATTTTCCCCTTGCCCAATCTCCTCAAGTACACACATAGTTTACTATTTCATGCCAATTTCCATTGCAATGCTATTTCCCAAATAGATGTCTTTTTTTTTTTTTTTTTTTGAGTTGGAGTCTCACTCTGTCACCCAAGTTGGAGTGCAGTGGCACGCTCATGGCCACTGCATCGATCTGCAGGACTCAAGTGATGCTTCCACCTCAGTCTTTCAAGTAGCTAGAACTACAGGTGAGTGCCACTATGCCCAGCTATTTTTCTTTTCTTTTCTTTTCTTTTTTTTGTGGTTTGTTGTAGAGATGAGATCTCACCAAGTTGACCAGGCTGTCTCGAACCCCTGGGCTCAGGCAATCCTCTTGCCTCAGCTTTCCAAAGTGCTGAGAATATGAGCAAGAGTCACTGTGCCTGATTTTATCTAGTGTTTCCCCTCTCTGTTATTTAGGTTGACATCCTCATGTTTAAATCAGTTCTGCTTATCAAAACAGTGAGAGCCATCTATGATAAACCTACAGTCAACATTTTGCTCAACTGGCAGAAATCAAGTATTCTCCCTGAGAACAGGACCTGGGCAAGGATGCCCACTCTCATCCCTCCTGTTCAACATGGTATTGGAAGTCTTAGCCAAAGCAGTCAGGCAAAAGAAGGAAATCAGGGATATCCAAATAGGAAAAGAGGAAGTGAAGCTATCCCTTTTTGTGGATGATATGAATCTGTATTAAAACCCTAAGGGATCTGTCAAAAACCTCCTTGCACTGATAATCAACTTTGGTAAAATCTCAGGGTATAAAATCAGTGTGCAAAAGATAGCTGCATTTCTATACACCAGTGACGAGCAGAGTACCAAATAAAAAGCACAATCCCATTCACAATAGTCATACACACAAAGAAACGAAATACCTAGGCACCACATAGCCAGAGAAGTAAAAGACCTTTACAATGAGAACAAAAACTCTGCTCAAAGAAATCAAGAATGGTACAAACAAATGGAAAATCATTCCATGCTCATGGATTGGAAGAATCAATATAGTCAAGATGTCCATCCTACCCAAGGCAATTTACAGATTCAATGTAATACCCATTAAATTACCAACGTCATTTTTCTCAGACCTGGAAATTACAATACAGAAATTCATATGGAAACAAAAAAGAGTAGAAATAGCCAAAACAATCCTCAGCAAAAGGAACAAAATGGACGATGTCACCTTTAAACAAGGTTACAAGGCTACAATAACCAAAATCACCTAGTACTGTTACAAGAATAGACACACAGACCAATGGAACAGGACAGAGATTATAAAAAAAGCAAAAACTCAAATCTCTCAACCAACTCATCTTCAACAAAGCCACCAATAACAGCCACTGGGGAAAGGAGACCATATTTAGCAAATGGTCCTGGGAAAACTGACTGACCACATAAAGAAGAAAGAAACAGTACCCCTACCTATTGCCATATACAAAAATCAACTCCAAATGGAAAAAAGACCTAAACATAAAACCTCAAACTGGGCCAGTACTTTGGGAGGCTGAGGTAAGTGGATTGCCTGAACCCGCGGGTTCGAGACCCCAGCCCGGGCAAATGGTGAGACCTTGTCTCTACAATAAATTAAAAAATTAACCAGGCATGGTAGTGCATGCCTGTAGTTCCGGCTACTTGGAAGGCTGAGGTGGAAGGATCAACGAGGCCTAGCAGGTCGACACTGGGCTGGCTGTGAGCATGCCACTGCTCTCCAGCCTGGGCGACAGAGTGAGACTCCGACCAAAAAAAAAAAAAAAAAAACACACAAAACCTCAAACTGTAAGAATCCTAGAAGAAAATGTAGAAAACATTCTTATGCACATTGGAGTAGGCAACCAATTCTTGATCAAATCTCCAAAAGCAAATGCCATAAAAGATAAGATAGACAGGTGAAACCTCATCAGACTGAAAATCTTTTGCACAGCAAAAGAAACCATCAAGAGAGTGGGGAGACACCCCACAGAATGGGAAAAAATATTTGCTAATTATATATCTGACAAAGGCCTAACATTCAGAATCTACAAGGAACTCAAACAAGCTGAAAGGAAAAAAGCAATCCTATCAAAAAGTGGGCAAAGGACATGAATAGACACTTCTCAAAAGATGGCATACAAGCAGCCAACAGATACATGAAAAAAATGCTCAGCCTCACTAATCATCAGAGAAATGCAAATCAAAACCACAATGAGATACCACCTAACTCCAGTGAGGACGGCCATCATTGATAAATCAAAAAACAACAGCCCCTGACACAGGTGTGGAGAAAAGGAAATACTTCTACACTGTTGGTGGGAATGCAAGCTAGTTCAACCTCTATGGAAAGTAGTGTGGCAATTCCTAAAAGAACTTAAAATTGACCTTCCATATGACCCAGCAACACCTCTCCTGGGAATATACCCGAAGGAACATAAATCATTGTATAAAAAAGACACCCACACATGCATATTTATAGCTGCACTATTCACAATAGCAAAAACATGGAACCAACCCCACTGCCCATCAAAAGTGAACTGGATAAAGAAAATGTGATACATAAACACAATGGAGTATTACACAGCCATAAAGAAGAACAAAATCATGGACTTTTCAGTAAATTGGATGGAATTGGAAACCATCATACTTAGTGGTCTATCACAGAAACAAATAACTGAATACTGTATAGTCTCACTCATGAGTGGGCCCTGAACACTAGTCACATTAGCACAAGGGAGGGAGGGGCAGTCACCGGGCACTGCCAGGGGAACGGCGGGGGGGGGGGGGGTGTGTAACAACACAAAGGGTACCTGGTCCTAAAACAAGGGGAGTAAGGTCCAGTTGGAGGACAGTTTCACCTGCATGCAGCCTATTTGTGTAGTTAACCCTCACTTGTACCCCACATCTCTATAATAAAATAAGATTAAAAAAAAATAAATCAGTTCTGCCTATACTTCCTTTATTCTGACTCAGATGGCAAATAATTGCTCCCCTTCACCTCCACACTCCTTGAAATTCTCACTGGGAAGCCAAAAAAACCAGACTTACAGAAGGAGCTCTAAGTCTCACCCACAGACCTGCACAAAATAAGGATTCAAAGCCATTTGCAAACTCGGTCCCTATATCAAAGAACTTGCAATCAACCGGGTTGATTTCAATTGATAGCAAAATTCTTAACTTTTGTCCCTTAGCATGGGCTCTTTGCTCTCTTATAGGAAGAGCTCCTAAAATAAGAAATACAATGGGATTAATGGGATTACCCCACACAGATAAACAATTTACATTTTATCAGATATTCCCATGGGTTTGTACTCAGAAATGCAAAACAATTTATAAAATGTCCTTAGGCAAACATAATTAAGAAAATAAGTCTTTGGAGGGAAAATGACACACTGATTGATAAACCAGTAATACGCCCAATGAGTGAGGAAGAGAGAGAGAATTTCACTCATTACAGGTTATCTTCTACAGTGAGAATGAATATTTAGGAGTGATTTTTTGAAGATGGAGAAGAACTGACGACAGATTTTTTCGCTATCCCCTGTCAGAAATTTCTCTGTTAGAACTTTTTCTTACAATTCAACAGCAAAAACCAAATAACCTAATTTAAAAATGAATGGAAGACCTTAATAGACATTTCTCAAATGAGGACATTCAGATAGCCAACAAGTACATGCAAACAATGCTTGACATCACTAATCATCATGGAACTGCAAACCATAACCTCAGTGAGATACTGTCTCATTCCAGT